TATATATATATACATATATATGTTTGTGGGGTTTTTTTTGTTGTGTATGTTTTTTTGCTGTTTTTTCTTTGGTACCGGGGATCAAACCCGAGTCCTTGTGCTTTCAAGACAGGTGACAGAACCACTGAGCTAAATCCCTAGCCAATATATATATTTTTAATGGATGATCTAAGATGTTTTTCTTACATTCTTTTAACTTTCTCAGCCAGTGCCTTTTATCTTAAGATCAGTTTCATGCCCTTTATCAACTAAGCTAAATGATAGACCTATACTATCTTTAAGGGATTTGGGGTGTGATAGGCCTGGAAGAAAAGAAGAATAAACAAATCTAAGAAATTCCTATAACCTTGGGTGACTTTGTGTGCCAGGCATGCCTGATACCACCAGGCCACATGCTGGGCCCCGGTTTGCCTTTTTTGTGTGTGTGCTGGGATTGACCTCCGGACCTTGTGCTTGCAAGGCAGGTGGCAGAACCACTGAGCTAATCCCCTGCTGGTTTGGGTTTTTGAGACACAGTCTCACTGTGTAGTTCAGGCTGGCCTCAAACTCGTCACAGTCCTGCCTCAGCCTTCCAAGAGCTGGGATTACAGGAAGGTGCCTCCACGCCTGAGAAAATTATAATTTTCTAAATTACAATTTTCCATGTCTCTTTTCTACCTATCTTTATTTCTTCTATCTTACCCTAGGAGAATTGATTAAGTCTGTGCTCCCCGGACTCCTGGATCAGTCAGTTACAGTAGGGACACAGGTGGCTCAGAGCCCCTGGACTTCCCCGTCTCACACCAGTGGACAGCGCTTCTTATACCATGAAAGGCTCAGGGCTGCCTCTCTCCAGAGGGAGGTGGTGTGAACAGGCTCACCATTAGAGCCAGCCTTCACAGCCTCAGCCTGGATCCAACCCTTTGGTTCTTTTGGTCTGGACTCAAAAGCCACTTCCTGAGTCTTGGGATGTGCACAAAGAGAGGAAGAAACTATAAGGGCAAAGGGGGCATGATCTGGGCTGGACTAGAACTAGTTTCCAGAAATGCACTTTCCAGCAGAGTACACCAAGCTCCTTCTGGACCTTGCTCCCCCTTATCGTGGCAGACACACTGTAGAGGAGGAGTCAAGATGCCAAAGAAGTATTCAGCAGCTTCCTTTCATTGCTGCCACTAGATGCCAAGCATGTGCTAAGTACAAGGCAGCAAGGAGAGCAAGGCAGTTGACCTGCCCTCTACCAGGGGCACAACCAGGTTCTGTCCATACTGGAAAAAAAAAAAAAAAAAAAAAGGCAGAAACTCCTGGCAGCAACTGAATGAGCTCAGAGCGAAGGATAAGCAGAGGAACGTGGATTTTTCAGAGATGGGGTGGGGGAGGTCCTCCAAGGTGACCTTGAAGAATAAAGCGGCAAGTTCTCAGTTCTGGGGATGGGAAAGCAGTCAACTGTAGAAAAGGAGCTTTTGGGGGGCATGGGGAGGTGTGCCAGGGCTCAAACTCAGGACCTTGCACTTGCAAGGCAGGCACAGCGCCACTGGGCTAAATCCCTGGCCCAAAAAGGAGCATTTCTAAAATCATATGGCAGGCTGGGGGTTGGCTGGCTCCCAGGGCCTGGGGAAGGATGGAAAAGAGAAGGTGATCTGAAGTTCAAACTGGCAGACCTGGGTGGGGGACAGAGTAAAGTGGTAGAGTGCTTCAGCCCAACAAGGTGGTGCACGCCCGTAATCCCAGTATCCAGGAGGCTGTGGCAAAAGGATCACTGTGAGCTCGAAGCCAGCCTGAAGTACCATAGTGAGGCTGCCTCAACCCCTCTCCAAAAGTGTTAGAGTGTTTGCCTAGCATGCTCCGGGACCTGAGGTCAATCCTCAGTACCCAGGGGGAAAAAAAGATTGTCAGATCTGAGATACATACCAACCAAGTACAACGTTTGGTATTTGATTGGATCTTTTTTTTTTTTTTTGGTACCAGGGATCAAACTCAGGTCCTGCACTTGCAAGGCAGGTGGCGGCACCACTGAGCTAAATCCCTGGCCCTTGATTGGATCTTTGAACAAACCAGTTGCAAAACACATTTTGGGAACAACTGGGGAAATGTGAATACAGCACAAGAGTTAGTCATGAGGTCGGTCATGGGGCTGTAATCCAGCATTCGAGAGGCTGAAGCAGGAGGATTACCACAAATTCAAGGCCAGCCTGGACTACACAGTGAATTCAAAGCCAGCCTGAGCTACATAGACAGATCCCATCTCAAACCGGCCCCAGATAAAGAATTAGACATCACAAAATTATATTGTTAGGCTGGGGGCATAGCTCAGTGGGAGAACACTTGCCAAGCATACACAAGGCTGTAGGTTCAATCCCCGGCACTGAAAAATATATTTTTGGGGCCAGGGATTCAGGATTCAGCTCAATGGCACCACACTTGGCTGCCAAGCACAAGGAGTTCAATTCTAGGGTGCTGGAAAAAAATAACCCTTTTTTCATTGTGTTAGCAGTGATGATATAATTATGTAGGGAAGGGGGCTTGAGGGAGGAATGGGAAAAATAAAATGAAATTTAATTTAAAAATTTTTGTAGGGAAATTACTCTATGTCATTTAATAATGCATACCAAAACATTGAAAGATGAAATGTCAAAAAGAAAGGTTGAAATAAGGGCCAGGGTTGTAGCTCAGTGGTACCCTGCCTGCCTGGCAAGCA